TAAATTAATTAATTTAAAGTCAGATGAATTAATACAGACAAACATAACGTCAGTTTTATTAGAAGGGAAGATTAAAGTAGATCAAATTAAAACTGCATAACCCTACCTCTCATAATCATAACCACTCGTGCGTATGATTGTCTTGTATATTATTTATGTTTGACAGTATTTATTCCGTAACTAAATGTACATACATTTGACAAAAAAATCATAATATTATTAAATATTGATCTTTTGCCATTTATTGGTCATTAACAAAAGGTTTACAGAGTAACGGTGCTGTTTTAACTACTGAATGAGCTTTAACCAGTAGGCTACTAGAGTTAGTTGTAAATAGCTGGAGAATATTTCAAGCATATGTAATGTAGTATAAATCGCTTTAACTACTCACTTTTCGCTTTCAACCAAAGTCTGCTTAATTATGCTTAATGTGTGTTAATATAGATAATATAACTTGAAGAGGCCTGTTTTAGGTTAACATATGGTATAACGGATCATCTGCGAGCAGCTAACCAGCCTTTGACTATCATCGTGTTGATAGATGACTGAACTCTATGAGGTCTGTATCAGAAATTAAAGGACCGTATGATGCACTATGTGCCACGAGTCGTGTAGACATTTACACCTGTGTATTAACACTTATATATATATTCATACTTGAAGTGTGAACATCAGATGGTTTGAGACTTGTTTTCCACTGATTACCCAAAGATTATTTCATAGTGTCTTTGCTCTTCAGTATCCAGTGTTTTGTAACGAAATCTTTGGTGCTACGATAAAAATGAAATGTAAATGAGATTTTGTGGATGTAATGGAATCTACAGAACTGTACTAATGCTGATCATCATAATAAAAGGAAATATGTTTATTGTGGTTGGTTTGTCTGTTTTTAATGGAACATTGTTGCATGTTTTGAAAGTAGATTGATGAAATATAATCTGCAAATGTTCAGCGTGATGAGAAACAACGCAAGACTTCTGTAGCTATATGGACACTATACTTTTATTAGGTCTGTCATTCAACTACAATTTTCAGTTCAATTAATTGCATGGTGCTGATGATTTAATACTGCACTCTAAAAAATGCTGGGTTAAATACAACCCAACCGCTGGGTCAAAACAACCCAACCGCTGGGTCAAAACAACCCAACCGCTGGGTCAAAACAACCCAACCGCTGGGTCAAAACAACCCAACCGCTGGGTCAAAACAACCCAATAGCTGGGTCAAAACAACCTAACGTCTGGGTCAGAACAACCCAAAAGCTGGGTCAGAACAACCCAAAAGCTAAACTAAACAAACTAAACAAAATGAGAAATGTTGTCTTAGCAACTAGCTGAAATCATTTTTTTTAATTTCAGTTATTGTTGATTTTATGATTTTTTATGGTTTTAGTTCATGATAATAATTTTGAAAAATAATTTTTTCAAACAAATATAGAGCTGCTATATTTATAAATATATGAAGTCAGAAATACATAGAAATAAACAGATGCATTAATGAATATCGACCAGCAGGTGGAGACAGTAACTTTAAAATGAGAGAATAACATCAGCTCGTGCTTCATTTTAGAGGTTTTATTGCATGTTTTTACATGTTTCTTTTTGACCCTTATGTTCTGAAGACTTTAGGCATGGGGA